ACCCTGCACTTGGCCTGGCTGAACTTCATGAAGTTCATGTGGGTCCAAATAGTTTGGGGGTTTGCTGATATTTCTTTCTCTCTCTTTGGATGAAGTGGTTGACCAAAGTGGATGAAGTGTTTTTGGGGAACGCACGGTTGACGGCACAGGAGAGCTGCCCCATCTGCTTGTGTTGGTGGCACCAGGGGCCTCCCAAGAGCGTCAGCTGATGGACGATGTGATCAGAAAGGCTGCCCTCCCGCCCCTGCACCCCTGGAAAAGCTGGGAAGCCAATAGCTGAGCAAAACCCAGGGAAGGGGCTCAGTACCAGGACTGAGAAAAAATAACAAAGCATAGAAAGGGCTCTGAGCATTGCTGGGTGAACTGGCACGTCCCCTGGGGTCCTGTCTCCTGCCGTGGCTAGAAGCAGATGCTGAAAGAGGGTGAGAACAGAGCCCGTGGGAGAGATGCTCCTGGCCGCAGGCACCCTGAGCCAGACGTGTCCGGTGGTGCCCATGCGCAGCCCGAGCAGGGTGGGAAGCAGCACCATCCCCAGGCTGCCAGCCCGCTCCCGCACCTCCTTGCCAGCCCAGAGAGCTCAGCCTGCCGGGGCCTCCTCGGCTGGAGGCTGGTCCGTTCTGCCAAACCTCCCTGCTGCCCTTCTCAGGACACTTCCACTTCGGCTCTATCTCTTTTTCATATTCAATGTGTGGGTGATAAAAGGACCTAGGCAAAGGCTGAACAGTGATCTCTCTTTTAATCTCCTTTCTTTTCCTAGTAATTCCTAGCATGTGATTTTCTTGCTCCTTTTTTTCTTGATTTTGACAGCTGCTGAGCTCTGACCTTTCCTCGGGGCTGTCTCGGGGCACTTGGAGACTGTTGTCTCACCCATGAAGGCAGGGTTGATCTTCCTCATGTGCTTCACTTTCCATCAACCCACCTACAACTGCATCTGCATTTCAGTGCTTTTCACTCAGCCTCTGAAGTCCTGCAAGACAGCCCCATCGTTGTTTCCCAGATAACTTCTTGATCCACCTGCAAAGAGCTCCGGGAGGTGGGGGAGGCAGGACTCCTTTCTGCAAGGGCCATATTTACTCTTCCTATATGTACCCCAGTGTCCACTGACAAAGTTCCTCTGCCGATGTCAGGGTTGAAAGATGCCCTCTCCTGAGAGTCCTGCGGTGTAACCACGGCCGTGCCGGCACAGAGGGCAGCTCAGGCGC